GAACTGGAAGATGGGAACGCTTAGCAGTGAGTCCTGAAACTCAGAAGCTTGTGGCTAAAACCACGCCCACCCTCCCCACATGCCTCCCCAATGCCCAACCCAATCTATATGTGCCACCCACTGCATCCATTAGGCCACATCTGTTGCACGTCACCAAAAGATTGTCTAGTCTTGCTAGGCAGATCCATGAAGGCCCAGCAGGCATGCAGGAGTATCTGTGTGTGCTTCCAGAATTTTCCTCCCAAGCTTTTGCTTGGGAATCGCTCAGTTCTTCCCATGTTTTCTCATCCCTAGTGCTGAACTACAATTCCCATCATCCTATACATTGCTAGGGAACATGCACTGTGATCTACTACAGGTAGTCCTTGTTTAATGATGGTAATTGGGACCATAGCTAAGTGACGTCGTAGAGTGCGATGTCACGTGATGGCGCCAACTTACAATGGCAAGTACGGGAGTTCCATTTGCCATCATTAGGCGAATCCCACGTGGTCGTTAAGTGTGATGTCATGTGATCGCCCTTTGCAACCTCCTGCTGACTTCCCCATTGACTTTGCTTGTGGGAAGCTGGCAGGGAAGGTCACAAATGGCGATCACATGACTGCGGGATGCTGAGATCGTTGTAACTGCAAGCTGGTTGCCAAACGCCTGGATCGCGATCATGTGACGGCGGGGATGCTGCAAATGGCTGCAACTTCAAGGACCGGCCATAAGTCGCCTCATTCAGTGCCACTGTGACTGCAAACGGTCGCTGAATGAATAGCCACTGACGAGGATTAACGGTACAATTGAGAGGGCTCCAAGTTGGGAAAAAAACTGCTTCCCGAGACTCACCTTTTTTCTTTACTTGGCACTTGACATCTGGATGATCAATGACCTCGCAAACTGCAACACAGCTGAGAATTGGGCCCATCATGCTTCGCTGCCAGCCCAGACTGTGTGGGCTGTAGAGGAGGGCCAGGCTTAAGTCACTGGTCAGATAGGTGCCTTCCCCAAACAAGGAGGTCTGAAAAAAGCCAAAGATTGCTGTCTCCTTACCCAAAGCGGAATTCTAGGACTCTCTGTATACTTTATTCTTGGATTTTTATATTACAAAGATAATTACAGTGACTATATGTCCTTTATTACAGGTAGTCCTTGACTTATGACCACAATTGGGATCAGAACTTCCATTGCTAAGTGATGTGGTCATTAAGTGAGTTGTGCCTGAATTTATGACTTTTTTTGCCACGGTTGTTAAGCAAATCTGGCTTCCTCCATTGACTTTGCTTGTCGGAAAACCCTAGGGAAGGTTGCAAATGGTGATTACGTGACCCTGGGATGCTGCAACCGTCATAAATACATGCTGGCTGCCAAGCATCCAAATTTTGATCACGTGACCATGGGGATGCTGCAATGGTCATAAGTGTGAGGACCGATCATAAGTCATTTTTTCAGCACTGTCGTAACTTCAAACAGTTGCTAAATGAATGGTTGTAAGTTGAGGACTACCTGTAACAGTCCTTTATTTCAGAAAGCTATTTCAAAAGGACTACCTGTAACAGTCCTTTATTTCAGAAAGCTGTCCTTTAGATTTATTTAATTAAATTATTTATTTTCTTGGTTTTGCTTTTAAATTTTCCTTTGTAAAGCATAAACAATTTTTTTATAGTTATGAACCTCTTTCAGAAACCCTTTTTCAGGTTTGTCCTTTATTTTTTCCAAGAAAATATGGTCACTGTATTTTTTTATTATATTATTATTATTATTATTATTATTACTATTACTATTATTGAAAAGGTATAAATGAAAATGTAGTATTGATCTAAGACCCGCAGCTCTCTTTGTAAGTGGGGGAGTTTGAGTTTGTAAAAAACAATCCCAACCTGTAAGTGAGTTGTACAATCAAAACAAAACTTTGCTAAGACACTTGAGGAAGTCTTTCCACTCTTTTGTGTTGGCCACCCTTCCCATCCCATGGGTGAACGAGACACAAATAATCCAGCGTGTTATTTCTATCAACTGCCTGACGATTAGATCCAGTCTGCAATGTCCTTGGCAGAAGTAACAGTTATAGGACAGGTTTAGGATCCGGAGAAAGGGTGGCAATCCTTAATCTCAGATTAATCCATCTCAGTTGTTGGGTGCTACTTGGCAGAACATTTGAAGAAAGGAGGTTCCATTAGTCCATAAGGATACGGGCACCCAAATGCCCCCCCCCTTTTAATGCCAAACAGCTCCTGTTTGACTAGGGGAAGATTTCCCTGAATCTAGCAGAATACAACATGGGTGCAATGCAAGAAGCAGGGCACTCACACGGCTGAAGTAAAGCCACAAATGAAGCTGGGGTTTTTAGCTCAGGAAAAATGGGCCACCCGGGGTTGGGTGGCACATGGTTTATGAAAATTATGCATCACCTAAAGAGGTTGGTGCACTAGACCTAAAGAAGATCCCAAATACCTAAAGATCTAAGGAAAAGGTCCCAAATACCTTTTCACAAAATTAAAAGATTGTTCAAAGCTTGCAGGATTTCGGCACGCTTGCAGAACATCTTGCGAGATCTTGACAATTTTGCAGGAGATTTCACATGATTATAGCATTTGCACAAGATCTCAAATCCCACACTGAAATCTTGGGATTTCAGGGGCATTTAGGGGAGAGTACAAGAACATTACACTCCGTCCAGGAGAATTTCACGGAAATTCTCTTCGCCTTGGCAAGAAAGTCCCAAGCAAGAAATGTATTTATGTATGTACTTAAAAGATTTGTATGGCTGCCCATCTTAGCCCACAACTCTGAGCAGCTCTCAACAACAATAAAACCAAAAACCAGTTTTAAAAACTCCATAAAACCAAAGACAAAGACCCAGGACCTCAGCCATCCTCCTGGGATGTCCCCCAACAAACCATCCACAGGTTCCCATCTCACCCTACCCCAGCGGCTGGGGGAAGTGCCAGCTCTTTATTTGAAACTAGAAAGGGGTATGAACCCAGTTAAAAAAAAAAAAAAAAAGACTGAAGGAGAAATGGGTTTTGGTTTTCTGCACAGCACGAGTTGCAATGGCTTTAAAAGGGATTTGCTCATGGAAGTGTGGGACTCCAGAAAGGCTGGAGGAAGGGCAGTATAACCAAAGACAGGACATTCACAGGCACTCCCTGCCCACCTTATTTAAAGTAAGGGCAAGAATATGACACTCCCCTCATCAGAATTTCCCAGAAGTCTCTACACCAGAGTCTAAGAGCAGCCCCTGGGCCTTAGGCTGTTGTGGGCTTCTGTCAGCCTTGCAAAGTAGTCCGGACAGGAAGCACGCCCAGGTGAACTGATTCTACTTTATTGTAAGGTTACATTAACAGAATCTTGCAACTCTGAAAGTACCTCTCTCCCCCCTCGCCTTTACAGCCCAAGAAACTAGGGAGGGTCCCTTCTGGGACGTTTGCCACACCCCCACTCCTTCTGTGGGCTCAGCTGCCGCTTATCTGACCGTTCCTCTGGCTGTGGCTCTTCCTCCTGTCTCCCAAGGTCACTCCCACATACCACCAGGAGGTAGAAAGAGGGCAGCTCTGGCTTCTGTCCCCCACATACCATTACATCTTCCCAAAGAGCTATTTAGTTTACTAATATAGCAGAGAGGATGCTGGCCCAGAGACACCTTTGGACCGAGAGAGATCAACCTTTCCCACTCTCTTCCTGGGGTGCAAACCAAGCTCATCCCTTACCCTGTTCAAATGGCACTGCAGCCCATTGTGCAATATGGAATGGAAGTTCTCCAAGCGGCTCCCGTGGAAGGCATAGATGAGGTCTCTCCCCGCCTGAGTTTCCTCAAATTTGGCATTCATTTGTTTGCAGTAGGTGATTTCAAAGAGGAAGTCCGGCACAGGGACGGGCATGCTGGGAGCTCCGGTCAATTCCTGGATCTTCTCATACTTGAATGACACCAAAATATAGGACAGTTATTGACACAAAACAGCTCTCTCTCTTTGAGGCCCTTTGAGCTTCAATGTCTTCAGATTGCACATCAAGGAATCAACCACAGATCTGCATTCTCACCCAGGAACTGAGGGGCAAGGGTTATTGGGGCCCCCATGGGGAGCATGTCAATGACAATTGCCACAATGGACAGTGACATCCTTTTTGGGTTGCCTTGACACTACACCTCATCCCAGGGCTTAACTTTTCACTAAATCCTAAAGACAAGATAAATGTTTTTTGTTGTTGTTGTTTCTTTCTAAAATGAAAAAGGGGAAAATAAAAAATAAAAAAACCTCTCAACTTTCCCCAGATGAATTTCAGCTCTCAAAGCAGCCTTTCATTTGAATTCTCTGAGTTGGGTTTCTTCCCTGCACCTGGGAAATCCTCACCTCGTTTTTGTTGGCGGTGTGGACGTGCCAGGCCTTAGAAGACAAGATCCAGTGGAGCAGCTCCAAAGTTCTTTGGCCAGGATTTTGAGGAGAATCCAGAAATTCCTGCAGGCTCTCCAGTGCTTCTGTATCTGCAAGCTGAGGGAGGAACACAGGGAGGGGATGGGCTGAGCTTTTCTTGATGATCTTGCACACCAAGAGCCCCCCAGTGGTTAAGACAAGAAAACAAAAAATATTTCTAACTGCCCAATGGCATGCAGCTTTAAAAAATGAAGTCTCTTTGAAACTTTATTTTCCATTTCTCCAGCTCCTGGAGTTGGACACGTCGGGCAGTTCTCTCGACAAAAATATGGAAGGGGGTTACCATTGCCGTCTTCCAAGGTATTTGTTTCAAATTCCCAATCTAAACCACTGCCCTGGTATTCTGTGGCAGTTTCCCATCCAAACAAGTCACCACAGGTGACCCTGCTTAGCTTTTGCAGGATCACCTGTCCTTGTTATGACTCGGTCTGCACAGTTACATGCTAATGATGGAAGACTTGAGAATTTTTCTCTCAAAAGCTAGGCAAACCTCCAGGTCTCACCACAGGGAAATGAAAATAAAAATAGGATTCTGTTTTTATCCTTAATAAATACCTTCTAATAATACGGCCAACTCTTCTGGGAAAGAATTTCCACAGGCAACTTTGCCCTTTCGGAGAGAAGTTTAGCAAACATCACTAGAAAACCTGCTTTTCCGCATAACACACTGGTTGGGTTATTCAACACGCTAAAATTGGACTGTGCCTGAGATTGACATCATGCAGGAAACCAGCCCCTGCTTTAGCACGGTGAATCAGGCTGTGCTGTCAAGCCACTGTATAATTTATTTGGGGAAGCACACAGGTTGTGTTTTGTTAACCCAGGTTTAGAGTTCAGCATTGCGTTGTGTGAATGCAGTTACTAACTCTCTTCCTGTCTGTCCATAAGGAACAAGTTGACTCTGCGGCTGAAGTCTGCACAGGGCCAAATAAACTAACATCTGCGGCTGAAAGGGGATTCTAAAATTCTGCATCAGTCCAACCATCTGAGTTGGACTAAGAACCTTATGACCAAGAAGGGACAAAGAAGGTCTCTTCCAAGCAGCAGACCCAACAATTTGCTTGGAAGGCCAAATCATTACTTGAACATGAAGGTTGACTGGCAGAGGTTCAAGGACACAGCTCTTTCCTAAACTAGTTTGGTTACACATGCGAAAAAAGCCGTAAATAGAACAGAGAGAACCAACTACAGTATAAGCTTCAAGCCTTTTATGGCCTCATTCATCAGTCCCCAGATTCAAATCCTGCATCTCTTTTTCACAGTGGCGTACATGACAGAGACTTCCAAGCCAGATGTTTCTCAGTGGGAAGAGCTGCTGACATTTGCATTGTTCCTGCAGTGGACCCTGTTTGGTCTCAGGCAAAGCGGCAGGTTCCTGACCCAGATGATCCCAATTCTCAACCCCAAAGCTGAAAACTCTGATCTCTGATCACTAGGTAAAGCCCGACCCCTAACTAACTAGCAGCCTGTTTATTTGTGGCAATTTGATAACTACATCCACGCATCCAAACAGAACAGCTGTGAAAGGTATAATTTGGGTGGAAGGGTGGGAATAAATGGGGTTGGGTGTATAATTTTCATGGATTTTTCTGCACGATAAATGCACATTGGTAGAGTAACCTAATTTGCACTAGTGCCACAGGACAAATGAATGCATAATATGCCCGTGACTCTATTTGATGGCTACGCCTGACATCAGCCCGGTACAGGGGGAGAAAAAAAGTTCCTCGCCTGCCCCATTTGGCACCTGCCCCCCTCAGCTCTGGGAGTACCTTTATTAAATTTGCACGATTTATTCCGTAACATTAACACAACTGGGCAACCTTGTCAAAAGTGGGAGGGATGTTACATTAGGAGAGAAACAGGAGGCAAATCGCAGAGTCCCACATCAAATGAGATGTTTAATAAGACATCTATTTGTATGGCTCTAAGTAAGGTTCTGTACTTACATTTAGGAAGTGTTGAGAGTTCCACAATTCTTCCTGGTGCAAGAACTCTGAGCGTGTAAGTGTCTGCAAACACGTGCATGAAGGGAGGAGGTAGTTCTCTTTTTCTCATCAGCTCCGTGAAGAGAAGAATGCTGCACTATGTATAGCAGTGTTTCTCAACCTGAGCAATTTTAAGACACACAGACTTCAATTATCAGAATTTTCCCCCGCCCCACCTCCGGCTCCGGGGGGATACTGATTTAGTATGTGCAGAACACAAAAAAATCAACT